TTTTTTTTTTTTTCTTTTTTTTCTGTTTTTTTTTTTGTTTTTGTTTTTTTTTGCCTCGTCTCACTCAGTATTCCTATAATTTTGTAGCTTTGCACCTTTTTGAACTCCTCCAGAATTAATTTTCTTTTAAAAACTCCTGTATTGAGAACATTAATTATTCCAAAAGGCACATGTGAAGGAAGTCCTCCTCACTCTCCAGGTAGCAAAAGCTAACCAAACTTTTGAGCACACGATGGGAAATAAACATCACTATCCACGACTTTGAAGATACATGGATGATATAAGTTACAGCATTTAATTTCTCTTTGGGATAAACAATGTTTTTTTTATTATTATTATTTATTTGAATTGAATATTAAAAAAAACTTGGATCACAATTTAGAAGATCTTAGAGGCCTAAAAGTGATGCATTGATGTTAAAGGGATTGTTAGAGGAACCAGTAAAGTAACTTTGTTGGAAATTATTTTCTTAAAATTAAGAAATTAAAGATTGGATTTAAAAAAATATCAGATTGAATTTATATTATGTAATTTATTTGAAAGTCTATTCTTAAACAAATATTCCTGCTGCTGCAGCTTATTTTAAATGCACAAAGGGAGGAGCAAAACTGGATCATTTCCCATGATTTATTACGACTATGATGATGTCACCAAAAAAAAATTTTTCTATTAATCTGTTGCTTAAAGTCTAGAACCGTCACTGACCACTTCATCATATTGTATCAGTTGCTCATCTATTAAACCATGAACAATATTCATATGTTCCTTTACTGAAACAATTTAACCTGCAAAAGTAATAATAACCCCAATCATGCCATCAGGTTTCTATCATTTTCTCATTATCATATAATGACTCATTCAGTCACACTGTGTGTGTTGGAGAGAGAAATCGCTGTAAAACATGACTACTTGGTTGACATTTAATGCTGATATTGTAAGAATCTTTTATAATTAGTGTGGTTAGTGTTTGCCACTGTAAGCAGCAGTCTGTGTGTATTTCCTGGAGAATTCACTGTAATCTGTTCACTTCCTGTTTTATCCTTGTTTGACAGTAGCAAATAACACACGAGCTCCAAACGATGTTTCATTTTTAATCAGCTCACTGAAGAAAACAAAAAAAAAAATCTGTAAACTTCGAGTCTTCCTATAGCTTCCCCACTGAAGAGTGTTGTCGTCACGGCAACCTGGTAGCGCTCATGTGGGGAACATGATCAGTTGTTTCCCAGCAACTGGTCAGCGGTTCGCCCTGGTAGAGCTGAATTTGTTTTAACTAGACCAGATTTCCCACTGCTAAATATAATTTTTCAGTCCATTAAAAAAAAATAAACTTTATAGCTTAATGGTATGAAGTTAAACAATAATTTGCACTTTTCGAACATGATGTGATGTTTGGCCATTTTTACATTAATCAAGGGCCTTACTGTCGTGATTGTGGCCTTCGTTTTCTCCAATAGGTGCTTCAATTCCAGTTACTGCTGGGAGAATTTTCAGCTTTCTTCCACACTTGCTGTCATGACGGAATAAATATCGTCTGGGAAAAAATACACATAATGTCTTCTTACTTTGATGCCAAGACTTGGTTATTACCCAGACTTAATCTCAATACATTAAAAAAAAGATTATAAGGTGGCCCATACTTAAAAAGCAGTGTCACCCCCGAATCATTATTACAATGCCAAGATAAGGACCAGGAGAGGTCCATATGCTTCCATACGGTGGACATGTGTTGCCTTGTCTTTGAAAACTGTGCCTCATATTCTGCTTGTGGTCTCGACTCTATTAAAAGTGAACAACGTGGAAAAGCTCTTCACACACATATCAAGCAAAGTCGAGGAATAAAATGTGACAAAAATTTGATAACTCGTATATGATGTTCTATATTTTATACTGTGTGTGATAACTGCATTATTTTAAGTATTTGTGAAGTGTGTATTTTTGTGAAAAGGGAGCAGGGTTGTCTTTTTGCAGAGCTGACCTGAACTAGTTCATGTCCGTGGTCGTCGGTCAGGAAATGTTTAGGTTGACGTGTAGCTGCAATTACAACTAAGACATTTTTCAAATGCAATATAATTTACTGAATTCAAATAAATATTCTGTTTTTATCTCTGCCTGCTGTTTTGCTTGATTTATTTATTTATTTCTAATTGTTTCATCTAAAAGTTGCAGGGTGTTAGCTGTTGAGTTTGGAGACTGCTGATGTTAAATAAGAGGAGGATTGAATCTTGGGGAACCTCTGCAGTTTATTTTGAAAATAAACTTGCTGAATGGAAACACTCCAATTTTGATTAAAAAAAAAGTTTGGACGTTCTTTTGGTCATATCAACATTGGTTTATTTTGCAAAACTGCAATGGAGACACTTTTTCTGCATCATACAAGTCACATCATCCAAAAACCAGATGTTGAATAAGACGACAGCTGGAGTTGGAGGATGATGGTGTGGCGTGTTTTTTAATGACTTATTTTATAAACAAACTTAATCATGTGATTTTAGTCGTGCTTCTTATTTAACAGAAACACAGCAATTGCGAAGTTATGTTTTTTTGACATTAAAAAAATGCCAAACTACTGACAAAGTTTTGTGCACCTTTGTAATGGAAACACAGCTACAATCAAGTGTCAAATTCTGTGCTGAGGTCCAACAGAACCAGCACCACAGTTCTTCCACAGTCTGCATCTCAGTACAGAGGTGACCACAGAAAAACTGGACTGAAAGCAGCTGGTCGTTAACTGTCCAAACTGTTTTTCCAATCATTTTGCTGCTGAATGGAAAGTTGGAGATCGGACTCCAGTTCTACACTAGTGACTTATCAAGAACATAAAGATCTCTTCACATTGCTCTTACCTGGCCTTTAGCATGTTACTTTTGTGTTCAGGTCTGTGTCTAAAGCCATCCTTTATCATAGCACCCTCTCTTACCAACAAGTTGGCCAACCTTTGAAACCCATCTGGTCATTGTCTGGTCTGTATTTGGGCTCAGAGGTGGCTTGGTTCGCCCTGAAAGGCTCCCTGAAGGCAGGAGCTGCTTGTCTCTGAAAATAGCACACTGGAGGCATGTGGGGTGGGGGGCGGGACGTGAACGTGTGCTTTGGCCAGTGCTTGGAAAACACAGGTTGTGTTTGTGCAGGCTTGCAGACATTGCAACATCGTCCGACTGTCGCTGCCTCTCAGTTCTGATCTAACCAGTGTCCAACTGGAGACTTGGAGAGGTCACACTGACCCAGGACAAGAAAAGACTCATATCTCATAAACAAGGTGAGCTGATTTTGCTAGTCTAAATGTTTATAGTTGTTACATGTGTACTCTGTATTTCTACCTTAATGACGTGTTTTATAACTTGTCCGTAAGTTGCTGGCATTGGCCTCACGTTGTTATTCTGCAGTTTTGTTGTTTGGGAAAAAGCTTCCACCAGTACATTGGGCTCTATCCAATTGTTGCTCCTTTACCTCAACATCAGGACTGAAGCACAGATGGGGGATTTAAGGCAGACCATCGGGGTCATGTCGCAGACAATATGCCCGAGTTCCCCGGCTGCGTCCGAGGAAGACCTGAAGACTCCAAATGGTGGGCAGCGGGAGAAGATGCAGATGAAGAGGGAGATTTCCCTCATCAACGGGATCTGCCTCATAGTGGGCAATATGATAGGCTCCGGGATCTTTGTCTCGCCCAAGGGGGTTCTGATGTACAGCGGCTCCTTTGGGCTGTCCCTGCTGATCTGGGCCCTTGGTGGTATGTTCTCGGTGTTCGGAGCCCTTTGCTATGCTGAGCTTGGCACCACCATCCCCAAATCCGGAGCCAGCTACGCCTACATCCTGGAGTCGTTCGGCGGCTTCCTGGCTTTCATTCGTCTGTGGACGTCCATCCTACTGATCGAGCCGGCCAGCCAGGCGGCGATATCGCTGACATTCGCTTTCTACCTGGTGGAAGCTCTCTACCCGACCTGCCAGCCGCCGTACGATGCGGTGCGCCTCCTCGCTGCAGCCTGCCTCTGTAAGGATGTGTGTGACTTTGAAAATACCGCTCATCTGTCAGCTGCTCCCTGCGCTAATTCTTCTATTGCTCTTCTGCATGGCATGATGGTCTGTTTTGAGTAGGTGCACAAAACTTTGTGATGCTCATAAACACCACAAAGTTGAAGTTTGCTGCCTGGTTTTCATTTCCATAAATTTGATTTATTGTGTAATATTTGGGAGGGCAAGGGGCAAGTGGGGATTAGGTTTGGAGCAGAAGGGGGACTTGCCCAGTGCACCATTCATGCATGTACCAAAGATAAAATTTCAATGTATAAAGAGTTAAAAAAAATAAAACATAAAAATACATTTCAACAAAGATGCCTGTTGAAAAATGAACCATACTATTCTTAAAAATTAATATAAAAGCTTATATTGTTATTACAGCATTCAAAACTAACTTTTTGCATGTTTCCACTGGTGTTTTTTGACAGTTATTTTCTCATGACGAGCTACAACTCAGTCAGGCTGGAAGCAGTGTTGTAACAGTTTTGGCTTTTCTATTATAGTTGAGTTTTATTTTGTTGAGACTTTTTGTTTGTCTAATTCTGTTAGATTTAATAAATTTTTAGAGAGTGTTTGCTAGTTTTTATTTGTCATTATTTATTAAATATTATTTTGTTTCAGTTTATTTTTCATTAGTCATAGTGGCAGTCTTAGTTTTTTCATACTCTGGTTAATTTTTAGGTGTAAAATTCAAAAAGGTCAAAGTATTATACTGTGATCATGTATACATTTATTGGGTAATGAATACTCAGGACAAGATGCCACTTGCAAAAAATATATTCAGTTATTGTTGAACAACCAGCTGACTTCGGTCAGCCTAAAAGTATTAATTTTACCTTTCGTCAGAAGAAACATGTTGGTGTAACAGGATTGACCGTCATGGTGTTCAGGTGGGTTCTGTGTCCCAGAGACAAACATGTTTTGATGGGAGATGTGAGGATCAATGGCAGAACAAACTGTCATAAGACACAATATGGAGTCATAGAGAGATTAGATGTAAAGCAGTTACAATTCAGTGAGGAAGAACTTTATGCTCACTAACAACAGCTGTAGCATGAATTCTGTTGTCTTGTTCCTCAGCTTAAATATAAGATTCCTGTTGCTTCATAATCCTGGGTCAAAGGGCGTCTTGAGTTGAGTTTTCTTCCAGTAATTGTTGCATTGGTTTCAATTTGCTCGATGTAAAATGATACACGCTAGCTTTCCAGTGTTCACCGTTTCTAATTTTGCTTTCAGCTTCGTTGAGGTCAGAGTTGAGGTCAGAGGCAGACTCAGTAGAACATGTTGCAGAATGCCACAGTGTGTCTAACAGCCTGGTTTTGTGCTTTGAAGACCCCAGAAAGCAGAAGTAGTATTTAGGCTACTGGGCAACAGCGTCATGAGCCGCTGTACCAGGAAAAAGGTTTCTGTTTTCGTAACCGCATACTGCGCATACTGCGACCCGATGCAGACTCACATTCTCAGGCTTCTGACAGCCGGGCCTGAGTGGGGATACCATCACCTTAGATGGCCTCCCACCCCATGTTATTTAGTAACTACTGGAGGATTTACTTTACGTTGCCCTCCTCTTCCCTTCTACCAACTTCTATCCATTCTGTTCTTCTTCTTTTTTTTGCGTTTCTGCTTAGATCAGGTTCTACATAATGTTGCGATAGAGATAACAGTGAAACAAATCCACAGCTAATGTACAGCTCTTGAAAAAAATAAAGAGACGGCTGCACTGAACCTCACTGAAAACCTCCTGGTTATTCCACCAAGTAATGATTTCTGAACTCTTCCTGAGTTAAAACATTAGCATTGTTGTTTCTAAATGAATATTAACTTGTTTTCTTTGCATTATTTGAGGTCTGAAAGCATGTGCATCTTTGTCGTTATTTTAACCATTTCTCATTTTCTGCAAATAAATACTAAATTTTTGCTTGGAATTTTGGAGACATGTTGTCAGTAAGTCAAAATGAAAGAACAATGTTCGTCTTACTCAAACATATTGTCTGCCACCCTAACATAAAAATACACTAGCTTTGATTTTAAGCAAAGTGTATTAGCTCTGACATGCTATTACTTATTTGTCTTGTTTCAAAGGATTACTTAAATATGTTGCTTTAAATAAACAATGTATGCTTTCATCTGATAATCCTCTCTTTGCCAAGGGAGACATGACCTAGATATCAGTTTGCTTAGCATAAGCTAGCAGCTAAGCTAAGCAAATGTTTGGCTTGCAACCATGGAAAATGACTCCCGTCAGCATGTTGAATTTTCAAAGTGACCTCAACTGACTGCAGGCCAACCTATTTTCTAATTGAATCTGCTAACATTAAAATGATTTGATCTCTTAGGGGCACTCATAGGCTATGCACACAGCAGGCAAATAAGACCCAAACTGTTTTTGTCCAGATGCAACCCATATCCGACTGTTCCATGGCAGTCTGAACGGCCCAATGTCCGATCTTTTCATACCCTAAAAAATCCAAATCGCGCCACTTACATACAGTATTTACTAAATCAAATACATATCCGATAGTTTTCAAAGTGTCTGCAGTAGAGCGGTCATGTCAAATTGTCCGACGTTTACGTCATTGAAGTAACAGAGGAAGCCGGGCAAAGTAAATCTGGACACAAACAATGGCTGAAGCAAACGTGATCATTATGAAAATGAATTATGAAAGAAGCTCGTGTCACTGAAGCTCATCTCATCATTATCCTGGTTCTCACTACGCATCCAAATTTCACTGCAGAAGTTGCAGTCAATGCTCCAAAAAAGCCCATTTCTGTTAGATGTGCTTTATTAGTATTAGCTCCCTTCATGTTGCTATGATCTTGTGACTATACTGTCGGCTCCCATTGCTGAATAAACTTTAAAATCGTCCATTATTACTTCCATTAGCAGCGCACCGCTGTGTGCGGGTCGCTTGGGGTCTTGAACCGTTCACACAGAGATCTAGTGGTGGTTGCATTTAGTTAGTGGCATGAACGAGCACGCAAAGAATCGGAATAGATCAAGACCTGCTGTGTGAACGTAGCCTTAGACCATAGGCTGGTTGCATTACAGTTCATTTTCTTCCCCCCTACAGGCAATTATTTAGTATGGAAACCAATGTGATGTAAGTTTAACATCTTGGGTATGAGGGTGACCTATTGTGTTCTTTTGCTTCTCCAGGTATATTGATCTTCATAAACTGTGCTTATGTGAAGTGGGGGACTCTGGTCCAGGACATCTTCACATATGCCAAGCTCATGGCCCTCTTCCTCATAATCATCGTTGGACTCCTGAAAATAGTGACAGGTAAGTAAAAACCAAAAGTAGGAAAGCATCAGAGAAAAGGAAAAAAAATCACCTGCTTTAATCTTTGGCTTTTTTTCTGTAGGAGATATAAATAGTTTTGAGAGTCCGTTCGAGGGGTCCTCAACCGATTCTGGAGCCATAGCTTTGGCTCTCTACTCAGCTCTGTTCTCCTACTCAGGCTGGGACACGCTCAACTTCGTCACGGAGGAAATTAAGAATCCTGAGAGGTAAACTGAGCATGCCCAGGATCGGTCGGGAACAGCTCATGTTTGTCGTCATTTTGCTTCAACTCAAACTGAAATCCTGGGATGCTGCATAAGGGAGCAGTGACTTTTTACACTTTTACAAGAAATGAAAGAAACTAAGTTAGTTGGGCTTCTCAGAACAGTGTAGATGGTTGATTTCCACCAGCGTAACGTTGATATGAATGTTACCAGTTTGAGTCGCTTTGAATTGCAGGAGTCCACAAAACCTGGGGATATCGTAACTTTTTAACAGCCACTGCGATTTCAAATCTTTCCACAACAGACGGCAGGCCACTCACTCATCATAGGTCAACAAAACCTAACCAGACTACACAAACTATTCCTCTAATAAGTCATGCATCACTATTAAAGATACATATATAGCTCAGTAGAAGCTGATACCTAGAAAGCTGCGACTGATTCCAAGTTGTGTCATGTGTTACAGTTCTTTTCTGTACGTCAGTTCTTGTGGCTCTGTTGCAGGAATCTCCCCCTGGCCATCGCCGTCTCCATGCCCATCGTGACCATCATCTACCTGTTGACCAACGCCGCATACTATGTAGTTCTAGACATGCAGTCCCTGCTGGCCAGCGACGCTGTTGCTGTGGTAAGAAGCAAACAGTCGCCCGAGAGAAAAGTCCCACTGATACTAAATATAAAGCTGCTCTAGTGAGGGATGAATGCGGTGGGGCAACCAGGACATTTTTATAGAGGTTCCCAGGCTGCGAGTCTTACTGACATTTTGGCTGGATGGTTTATGTTTCATTGTTGTTGACTCAGAACTCTAACGCTAAAGGGTTTATGTTAGAGTTCTCAGGATGCCGGTAATCAGAGAAGGTGAATAAAATTTGCTCCTGTTAAGGGTGTGACATTAACAAAAACCATGAAGAAAATGGAGTCAGAGCTGATCATGAAAGTTTAGGGTAACTTTTAGGGTTGCACAGCCCTATTTTTCTCTGGAATATGATCCCAAATTGTTCAAGGAAAAGGTCAGCCTGGTAAGAAGGTGGTAGTTATTTTAAGTTATTTTTACTAAAGTTAGTTTAGCTAATGGGGGTAATACTAGCTAGTAAGAAATAGCTAGTAGTAGTAGTAGTAGTAGGGTGTTCTAACTTTTTTCTTAATTGGAAAACACTATCTGGTGTATCTGTTGTTTATTGAGTAAGAGTAGAATCTTTTTTTGAAAGAACTGAAATATTCTAGGCTTATCCTACTGGGAAAAATGGTACAATGTGCATTATTGGAGTATCAGTTTTCTCTCCTTCATTGCCCCCACAGACGTTTGGAAATGCAGTGCTCGGTCCGTTCAGCTGGATCGTCCCGATATCGGTGGCCATGTCCTGCTACGGAGGACTCAACGCTTCCGTCATTGCTGCTTCACGGTACTCAGAAAGCATGGAGAAGGTGCTCACATTGAGTTCATGTGGTCAAAGGAACCAGAAGTATGCTCTGTTAATCTTTCCGTTTGTGCAACACAGGCTGTTCTTTGTCGGGGCTAGAGAGGGCCACCTCCCGGACAGCCTGAGTCTGATCCACCTGAACCGCTACACGCCCGTACCGGCGCTGCTGTTCAATGTGAGAAGCACACCACCATGTTGCATCCAAACAAATGAACGCCTGATCAAAATGCTGAAAAGAAAGACATCTGAAATTTTTAACTGTGGCTTCAGGGGGTCATGGGTCTGATCTTCCTGTGTGTGGAGGATGTGTTCCTGCTCATCAACTACTTCAGCTTCAGTTACTGGCTTTATGTCGGTCTGTCTGTGGCCGGCCTCATCTACCTGCGCATCAAACAGCCAGACAGACACAGACCAGTCAAGGTACGCCATACTTGATTGCATCTCACTGATCACTGATCATGAACGTTAAGTCTTCTTACCTTGTACAAATTGTTGCTTCAAATCCATAAGTAATAGTTGGCAATCAATCCAGTTGATGGCTGCAATCCATCGTTGTCTTCTGTTCTCAACAAAAGGTTTACGATAAAATAAGCTTAGTTTGCATTCTCCTCTGTTTGTATAGCCGACACAAACATTTAATGATTTTACAGTGAAGCCAACTAAATGAAAGACATATTAGACTTTTGTTGTTTTTTGACAAGCGTTACAGGAGTTTACGCGCACATAGGTTGTTTTGTTGTTTTGACGTCCGTCATGTCAGAGTGGCCGCTTTCCTTATGAGAGTTATTTGATGCTAGGCTGAAATCATGCTGTCAACATGACAACAATCAAATACAGCTTCAGATATTCAACAGAATGAAAGAGAAGCTGCAGTGGTTCGGCCAATGTACAAAGGATCAGAAATCCTCCACAGTGATGTGAGAGATTGACAAAGTTCTACAGGAAACAAATACTGGGAAGGTATTGCAGGAGGTGATTCTACGAGCCGTTGTTCAGTTCATCTTCTGTGTTTCTGTCTCTGCAGCTCAGCTTGTTCTTCCCCATCGTTTACTGCATGTGCAGCCTGTTCCTGGTCATTGTCCCTCTGTACGGAGACACCATCAATTCTCTCATAGGGATCGGCATAGCTCTGTCAGGTGTGCCGGTTTACTATGTCACCATTTACCTGCCTGAGGAAAGGAAGCCCCGATTCATACACAAACTCAACAGTAAGCTTTATGTTTCCATTTGCATGCAAGCTTAGCAAAAAAAAACAGCAAGGATGTTTGTGCTTGCCTGAATGTTTCTTTATTTATCAATGTTTCTTGCCAGTTAGAAGTATTCTGTTGGAAAGTGTTTTGTCCTCCTTTGGATGGTGACACATCTGCAAAGAAAACGCATTTCTGGACTAAGCAGCAAAGTTTAACTTGTGACCACTGACTTGATTGGTGGTGTGAAGACACAAGACAACATAGTGGCAATTTGCTCATTAAACAAACAGCGAGCTCTGCAGTGTGCGGAAAGAACCCGAAACAGCGTAACTTCCTCATGCTGGTCACCAGCTGGGTCACACTTTTGTGGGACGGCAACCAGCGTTTGTTACAAGTCAGTTGATGGGGTTGTGATCGATACTTTGGCATCAATAGTTTGTCCAAGTTAGCCTGGCCATTGCATTTCTACGCACTTCCATTCGATTTTCTGAGATTTCTTTTATTTCTCCAGTAGAATTTCAACCTGGCCAATTAGCAAACAGAAGGAAGAGTTGTGAAGGTTGACGGCGAGTTTCTGCACCATTTTTTTGAATTGTAGTTTGCCTGTGATTATAGCTTGACAATGGCAGCATTGTGAACAAAGCCATTCTGTCCATGTTGGCCGCGCTTCCAAATGTCGTGCAATTAAAGAGGAATCTTTAAGACATTTTGTTGCTGTCAAAGATGTAGGTCAGCTCAGCACTTCTCTCTTCGCAGTGGGTTGTGGTTGTTTACAGCGCTTGCGACTTCCAGTAAGCTTCATATTGCAGCAGTTGCATTATATATGCATTACTGCCATACGTTAGTGATTGGGTAAAACTGGATCTAGTCGTTTCAAACAGAGTCACGCCTCCAGGAAGGAATTGCTTCTTGGTGGCCGAGAGCCCAGACCTTTTGGACGAAGCAAAGCGTAGAACAAGGGGCTGGTTTTTATCAATAGTATGTTTATCACCATCAAGCATTGTTGCAATAAAGAAATAACAGACTGCATTTTTTTTTTGCTAGCAGAGAAATAAATTTTTTTTTAACAGTTTGCATATTTGTTACACATTTACCACATATTACGGCAGATTATTCATGCCGTAAGTGTTTCTGACATTTCCTTCACTTTCTGTGTCTCTCTCCAAGCTTCTATCACCAAATACACACAGATGTTGCTCTACTGCTGCCTGACTGAGTTCGACACAGAAACAGGAACGCCGGAAGGTGGCAAAACACAGTGAGACGCACACGGACGACTCTGTTCATCCAGCTGCTTCCTGAGCCCTGTGTGGACAGTGTGACAGTGTTTGTGGGAATTCAGGCCTGCATTTACAAAAAAAAAAAAAAAGAAAAAAAAAAACGGGCCTAAAATCTTAAAAGACTCGCTGAGAAGGAGCGACTCGAACGTGATGATTTTTTTTTTCTTTTTCAACTTTTGTATGTTCCGAGAATATCTTCTGTGAGGATTACAAGGAAACATTTGAAACAAATGTGTAGCTAAAGCACATGTGTTGAAAAGCTTCGTACAGAAAGAGACAGAATTCAGTCATCTGTCTGGCAGAAACACATCAGACAGTTTAATTTTCAGGTACCTATTCACTCATTAAAGAATCGTTATTAATCAAAAGCAGCTCTAAACAAATGGGATTTTAGCTTTGACTTAAAGAAACTTAAGCGTTTCAGCAGTTTTGCAGTTTTCTGGAAGTTTGTTCCAGATATATGGAGCATAGAAGCTGAATGCTGCTTCTCTGTGTTTGGTTCTGATTCTGGGGATGCAGAGCAGAACAAAATGAAATCACGTTATACGTTTAATTTGAGCAGTACGTGTTATGATATACATTGCCATTTTTTTAAGGAAAAAATAACTTCCAAGAGAAATAAACACATATGTAATGGACACAACTGTTTGCCAGCTGGTATGAAATGGAAGAAGAAAAACGTGAAATAGCGAAGTAGAGAATTGACCTGTTTAGCTACTCCAAATGAGCACCGGAAGCACCTGCGGCTACTTTCCAATTTCCGCCCAGCAGAGGGCGCTGGTTAAGCTGAAAAGTCCGGTCCTCACAATTAAATCATTATGTTTTGTGTGTTGTACAGCTGTTACTATAGGTCTAATTTATAGGTTCAAAATGTGTTTAAGATATTAGGAACAGAACGAAATAAAGCACCTTACCAGCTCAATATGTATCTTCCAAAACAACAGTGTGTGTCTTTATCTGTATGCTACCTCCAAAAACCTGTAACATTTTGTCATTAAAAGGAAGAAGCATTTTCTATTTTCAGACGGGTGTATTTTGTCTTGAGTTGACTGTGTCTGATTTGTTAGTCAGACTATATTCAGAATATTGTTGCACAGTATGTGTGGGTAGAGATTAATGGCTGACCTGACTTGCTCATTCTGTGTACGGATGGTAAAAATGGCCAAAAATAATAAGAAAAAGAATCAAAAGAAACAAATTTTAAAAAAAAATCTCTCAATACAATACTTTATTCACTAAAGATTTACTGTATGTTTTTAATTCCTTTATTTGCAAAAGTAATCATTCTGCTTAGATCTGTTTTATTGGGATTTTATAGGAAACAAACATAAACTAGAACATCATTGTGAAGTTAAAAGACAGGATTCATAATTCTTTACATATAAAAATCTTATATTTATATATATAAAGCATGCAGCCATCTCAATCATGCAGAAATTCAGTTCTGCAAAACAGACATTTTTTTTTATAAAAAGCCAAAAGAATATATAATATTTTACACAAGCCGTAAGAGACAAAACATATGGATGTATGTGTTCTGATCAGATTGAAACATGGTGGTGGCAGCATCATGCTGTTATTCAACATGTGTAAGGAAGTTGATCTGAGTTAATGAGTGAAAGAAGATACAGTAAGTGAAGTTAAATACTGAAAAAAAACCTGTCAGATGCTACAAAAGACTTGAGACTGGATCAGAGACCGGTGCTAAAAGGTCATAAACCTTCAGCCAGAGCAACAATGGCTATTTGTTAGAACGGACCAGTCAAAGTGCAGATATAAACTGCATTTAGACTTCCAAAACTGATGTCCATGAAATCTCTTCATCTAGCCTGACTTTGCTTGAACTGTTGTGAGAATAAGAACAGGCAGAGTATTAGTCTCGATGTGTGCAAAGAGAAATACACCAAACATGTTGCAGTTGTAGCTGCAGTGAAAGTTCTGCAAAATATAGACCTGAATACACAAGACACTTCTAGAAAAAGAAAATTGTACAAAAAAAAATAAATAAATAAATCTTAGCCATCTATTCTTGTCTTAAGAGAAGCTGCAGACGGCTGAGTCAAACCCCGGACAGATCCACTTGTTGCTGAATTGTTTGTATCCTTCGGCGTCGCTCAGCTTGCTTCCTGAAACAGAGAAGAAACCCAGCATCTTACCACCGTATTCCTCAGCAGGAGTGAACACAAGCAGACAGATTTCTGTCACCGTTGATGAGGTTCTGCAGACTGCAGAAGTTGGTGCCGTTGTCGGCCGGGTCTTTGGAGCCTTCGGACGTCGCCTCGCCCTGTTGAACAGAAAACATCGGGAGCAGCTGATTGAGGAATCTCAGGAAGACCGTTGAACTATTTCCTCTGATTTACTGCATCAGACACGGCTTCAGTCTGTGTCAAAGCTGACCATGACCGCACCAAATACTGTTTGGTGTGACTGGAACTGCAGCATCGGTTTTGACGTTTCTACAAGATTCTTCCTATTCCTGCTCCCTTTTCGCTCGAACGTGTTTGCAAATTAACAATGAAAATCTCTAAATCGAGCAAATAAACTGGCCGATTTATCAGCCTTACAAGTTTCCCCGCCGGGCTTACCGTCACTCTGCAGATGGTGGACTGCTCCAGAAGAAACTGGAGGACGTTCAGCCTCTTGGTTCTGGGAGACGTGTGAGTGGCCTTGATCAGATATGGAGCTGAGGACACAAGCTGACAGCAGAGGCTGCAGTCAGTCAGTCAGTCAGATGTGAAAATGTTTACCCATCTGGAGTCAAAGCCGAAGGCCTTCACATGTTGTGGTGAGCCTGTCAGTGTGATTCTGCATAGTAATCCTGTGCAGATAAGTTTTTGCTTCCCAGAAAGTTGCTAAAAAAAAAAACTGATTTCTTTTTCCTTTTTTTCTCCATGGCCTAAAATAATTTGCTCATTTCATTTCTTATCATATCATCTGAAATCAAGAACATGTCATTAGCGCACTGACCGCTTCAAAAGTCAGTCAAGTCATTGTATTTTTACCCCTAAATTAAATCCAGTGCGGCCTTCAAAGGTCGAATAATTTAGTAAATTATCCACCTATTTGTAGCCAAGTATAAATCCAGAGAAGAAGCTGGAATTCAACTCACTACCTTCAGATTGTGAACGTTTTGTCTAATTGGTCTGACTAATCAGAAACCATTGATTTCATGAGTCAGATCGTTATTTTGATCATACCAAACAATGTGGATCTCCTCACTTAAAGAAAAGAAAACTCTGATTGGTGCGTTTTGATGGAACAATGTGCTAAATGAGAATGTTCTGACCTCGTAGGAACACTTCTCCCCTTCATCCAGACAGCTTCCCTTCACCTGCCACGTCTGGATCTGGTTCACCAGCCTGCCGCTAACGTTCCCGCAGTCGATGCCAAACAACCTGCCGAGCAGAGAACGGTGATCAGAAAACGCAATAACGGCGTTAAATCTATCAGATTTTCATTTCTGGAAGGAGACAGAAAGGAGAAGCAATGCTGCAAACAACTCTGAATGAATCCTTCACAGCGAGGACGGAGGCCGTGAAACATTTCCACCGGAATCTAGAAAAAGAATCAGCCTCACCATTTGATTTTACATTGCGCGGTGCTGCCAGACAGAGAGGCAGTCACTGCTGCCGCCGCAACCAGAGCAGAGGTGAAGAAGAAGAAGAAGAAGAGTCTGGAGTCCATGGTGAGGTTCTGTCTCCGAGTCCTCAGGTCAGACGGACCTGGAGGCAGCTGGGTCACAGGAAACAAACTGGAAACGAGAGGCAGAACCCGGACTAGTTACAGGGATTTCTACAAGCGTGGGAAAAAAAACACGTGGGAAAGCTGAACGTCCCTGGTGACCTTGGCTGCAACCAATTCACAAACTAATGTGGAACTGAGCAGAAGAAAAAGGTCAAAAGGGGAGATAAAGCTGTTAGCCCAGAGGTCAGGTGCTGGTGGAACAACGGAAAACACAAGAAAAAACTTTGATTTTTAGGATATATTTATAAAAGAAAGTGGAATATGTCGAATGTTGTGTGATTGCATCAAATATTAGGAGTGTATGCAGCAAAAATAAATGTTGGTGTCTTTGGTTGAAAAGCACCATGTTTACCTAAACACAGCTTATCAGCACAAAACACCTCATACCAACTGTTTAACCTGCAGTATGTAACTTTCATTTTTTTTTTTAAATATATGTTTTACGTATCTGTTAAAACTGTCACCATATTGTGACATCATTGCTCAGTCACAATTTTCAAATCTTTTTCATCCGTCAACACTTTTTCGTCCAAGTTTGTCCTGGATTTAGCTTCACCCAACTTAACACCAACTCTGACCTGCTGAATCCCCGGGGCATGATGCTGCCACCGCCGTGTTTCCACATTGGAGATGGTGTGAACTCCCTTTATCAATCAGGTGACTTCTGAAGGCAATTGGCTCCACTAGATTAAAGGCTGAATTCAAATGCCAAAGACCTTTTAACGTTTGTTGTTGTTATGTGACCAAGTGGTAAAAATACTTGAAAAAATGTCATATTTTAAAGTAGAACCATGGAGGAACATTACTTCAGAAGGAAAAACACGTATTATAGCTTCAAACTGAGTTTTTCTGACTCTTTTCTCGGTCATCATTCCTGTAGTACAACTTTGATCACGTGGAATTATGTATGGGCTACATTTGTTTCTTTTTTTCTTGTAGGAAACAAACCAGTCATTGTACATGTTCACATAATCTATTCATCACGCTGCTGAAATGCGAAGCAGTAGTTAGACAAACGCAGTTGTCTAACTAATCTCATAAACTCGAATCCTGGTTGGAAATCAGTTATCGTCCGGACAATAATCCTTGATTCACAGTCGCAGGAGTGAATTCTGACGCCGTGAGAACGAGTCAGCTGATGCCAGAGCCTGACCTTCTGGAGAGAGAAAAACGCTTTCTGGTCACTTACTACTAGACTGAGAAAGATTTTCAAAGCCAAACACACACACACACACACTCAGAAAAAAAGGTGGCGGGTTGTAAACACCTCATGAACTCTGCTTCATTGTGTGATGTCCTCACTTCGTCTTCAACTCATACACACACAAGGTGGGACATCACCATGTGTTCTATGAAGTAACTCCACTTCATACGACACAGTTTTGAACTACTGAGAGACAAAAACAGAAGCAGAACTTGGTCAATGTCTAATGGTTAACGAGACCTAGAAGACAATCATTTCTAAATAGAAACGCAGGAGTCATGGAGCCACACAGCCTGACTCCTGGACTCACTCCTGACTCTTCCTACCTGGAACGTGAGGAGTTCCTGCCGCGGCAGTCAAACGATCCCCACTGGGAGACACAAAGGGAAACTGACACCTCATGAACACCGACAATCTGGGACATTCATTTTTTATTGTTCAGTGTCGGCTGCTCCTTCTGGACTCCCGAGAGCACCGCTTTTAAATCTATGAAATGTTTCACATTTTGTCACGCTGTGACCACAAACTTCTGTGTATCTTACCGGAATTGTATTCCACCATTTTGGAAATTGGAAAGCAAAGTATGAACACTTTACTGTTTTTGTTTTTTTCCAACAACAAAAATGTGAGCATTTGTCATCATTCCTATCTAATGTGAAACTCCTAAATAAAATCCAGAAAATAAAGTTCTCTATGTGTGCAGCTTCATTTAAGTATACTATAAATGTAACTGTTCTAAAAGACAAAATCTTAACACAGATTTTTGCCTAATTTAGTGCAAATATCTCTGTTAATTGAAATAAGATAAAACAAACTTACAAGCAACATAGAGGGGCTTGTTTTGGGTCAATAACTTCTTAATATTGATGAAAAAGTACTACTGGCAGATAATTTCACTTATAACATGGGAAAAATGTCTTCTTATAAGTGAAAACATCTGCCAGTGGAACTAGTACTTATTTAAATATTCAATATTAAGGAATTATTTACTTAAAACAAGCTGTCAAAGTAAAAATCCAATTGAGAATTCCCACGCCCAGCACACTTGCAGTATTGACTCTGAGAGGCTGACTTC